CACTACCCTAACTTTCAAAGTTAATAAAAATTTTCCTACGGCAATACTTTTTTCCACACTAGGTGCAAATGAAAGTTGGGACCCTTAGGCATGCTTGACTAAAATATCCAGGTGGGGTATAGCACGGATTTTTTTTTTAAATTGGTCCAAAGTTGGGGTCCGACACCCTACCCTACCCTAACTTTCAAAGTTAATAAAAATTTTCCTACGGCAATACTTTTTTCCACACTAGGTGCAAATGAAAGTTGGGACCCTTAGGCATGCTTGACTAAAATATCCAGGTGGGGTATAGCACGGATTTTTTTATAAATTGGTAATATAGCTAATTAGTAATGTTCCTGCACACCAAACTTTGATTACTAAAAATAAACCCTGCGTATCATCAAAACTAAGCGAAACCCATTGTTATAGAAAGAGAACGGTTCGCTAAAACAGATTTGGCTGACATGAAAGTATTAAAGTACGAACGCAACTTTGAATTCTTGTAGCGTAGAAATATTGTTACTTTTAGGAACTATTTTACAGGATGCCGAGAATATGGAAAGCTATTTCACACAATATCGAACAAAATTTTTCTGATGGAAAAGTCGATACCATGAAACAAGAAAATTTGGCCATATTTAAATTATTTCATTTAGTCAGTGTTGACAGTTGAAGTTTTAAAGCGTGCAGCACGATGTTGAAAGAACATAATATTGTTTTTAAAAATATTGAACAGGAAATGAAATTTCAAAATTCATTGAATTATGTTTTCGACTGCTAAATTCAAGTTAAAACAGATATTGTTGTGGTTACATAAAATAAAAACGTTTTATTAAGTTTGAATCTTATGCAACTTTTGGGTTTATAGACATATCTGAAAACTGGCTGCTAGCGGAGTGGCTGCTAGCTTGAGTCTAGCTAATGTATAACTTGTCTTTCCCTATTGTTTGTGCTATTATCACACTTATTGAGCGGTGTGAGAAAAATATTTCTATTCACTAGTGAAATATCTGTTCTCAGCATATGTTTGGTTGAAATTTAATTATGACGGTAAATTTTCTTGATTTCTTCTGAATGTCCTATTGTGACGTCCAGAAAAAAAGCGATCATGTCTGATGACGTCACAAAGAAAGAACACAACTTTCTGCAAATCTTTGAAAAGGAAGGATACAAATCATTAGAAAAACAGATTCTACTACTTTAACTCGTGTATTCTGATATTTATCCACTCTCAACATTTCAATTTTAATTATTTAAAAAGCTCAGCAAACCTCGTGCTTTAAATATTAAAATTTAACGGTCTCGAGTGGAGAAATATCGTAACACAAATGATTCTATTTCGATTAACGTGTAAAAAGGGCGATAAGATATCAAGGGAATTAACAACCAGCAGTCGAAAAATGATGGACAAGAGCTCCTTGATAAAACTTGACAAATCAACATCCTCATCTGTAAGATAATAGTATACAAAACATTAATCTCGCTTGTTTAATTGTAGACGGAAACTTTTATGACAACTGCATCAAACAAGAAGACAGAGGTAATTATGCACATCAGAAGGCGCATACATGTATTAGAAAAATCCTGCAGCAGTTGCAACCATGAGTTAATTGATTCAATTATTTTTTGCCACACTCTAAAAGTGTGTTGGAAGAGAGAGGGGGTATGTCGCAATCACGTTCTTCCGTTCGTCCAACAAATTTTTATGTTACGTCACACTTTATTTCTTAGAAACCACAAAACCGAACGACTTCATATTTGATCTTAATTTTTCAACATGTCCGTGACAATTTCTAATTTCATTTACTATAAAACAAGATGACTTCATATTTGCCCAGTGGCTTGGCAGTGATTAGTGTCAGAGCAATTTTGGATCTCTTGCATTCTTGTTGTTAGATAGAGAAACACCTAGGCCGCGTCAGATTTTTCTTATCGTTTGCTTTGCTTTGTCAACTTTTCACATCCTACCAGTAAATCATGAAAGAAAAAAACACAAAATTAATAACACATATCATACAGGTTTTGAAAAAATGATATCAGATGATTTTTTTTCAACATGATGAAAATAAAATTCTTATAATTTTAAAAGGTGTAATAGATCATAACTATTAATTCTAAAAAAATCGTTTATATTAAAGTTATTTTTTTTGTATTTTCGCTTTCTGTTGTCGGGATATGTATCGTTTAAGAATCTTAAAACTTCGATTACATGTGTATAATTATTCTTTTGTAGAGAACCCCGCACTTGCAGCCTGCATTAAGAATGAGTGTAAGTAATTCCTTTTCAGACTTCTATATCATATAACAACTCACATATAAAGATGTATATAAGCAAGCGTTATTGATACTCCTCATAATTTGTTTTGAAGAATTACATCGCTCATGAGTCTGTAAAGTATATATAAAATGAAGATGTGGTATGATTGCCAATAAGACAATTCCCCACAATAGACAAAACGACACGGAAATTAACAACTATAATAGGTCACCGTGCGGCCTTCAACAATGTAAAACATTTCTGAAGAGAAAACTAACGGCCTAGTTTAGATCTATGTACAAAATAATGAACAAAAAACAAAAATGTAACACAGGAACAAACGGCAACCACTGAATTACAGGCTCCTGACTTAGGACAGGCACATACAAAATGTGGCGGGGTTAAACATGTTAGCGGGCGCGCAACCCGCCCCTAATCCTAGGACAGTGGTGCAACAGAACTATACAAGAACTGTACAAAACAATAAACAAACAACGCATATGATCAATAGCAACAAACGGCAACCACTGAATTACAGGCTCCTGACTTAGGACAGGCACATACACAATGTGGCGGGGTTAAATATGTTAGCGGGCGCCCGACCCGCCCCTAATCCTAGGACAGTGGGGCAATAGAACAATACAAGAACTGTACAAAACAATAAACAAACAACTCATATGATCAATAGCAACAAACAACAACCACTCAAATACAGGCTTCTGACTTGGGACAGGCACATATAGAATGTGGTGGGGTTAAACATGTTAGCGAGCGCCCAACACTCCCCTTACCTCGGACAGTGGTGTAACAGTACAACATAAGAACAAACTATAAAATCAGTTAAAAAAGGCTTAACTCATCAGATGGATACAAATAGAAATCCATCTTAAAAAAAACACAGAGTGGACGTGCACATTTTTAAAAATATGCCATTAATGGTGAACAAAGTTTTATTGGTGTTTTTGTAAACGTCAAATATTTGATATAGTCAGGACGAGAAAAATTTAACAATAAGTCCATTCAGTAAGTTCTGCAAAAAGGGTGTGTTAGATAGGGACCGCACGTTGCTGTGCTCTTATATTTCATGAACATCAAAACAGAGACACCATCAGTATGGGTAATTAGTAATGTTGGACCAGAGATGTATGTGACCATATTTCTTAACCTCGGTAAGGTGTCGACCATTTGATATTCTTAGGGAGGGGAATAGAAGATATTTTGTTGGGGGGACTATTCCTTTATCATCTGTTGCTACGCATAATTATATATTTCGGAGCGACATTTATTTTCACCTTTGGGCACCATTGTTTCCTGGATTTTGTGTTATTCATGACTTGTTCATCCTGTCATACGAGGTTATTTATTTTAAGCTCTTACAGGTCAGGATATCAAATTATAAAGTCCTCCTGCAACCTCCAGAAAATCAAATGGTCATCCCCTAACAACACTTGGAGATATTTAAAAAAAAAAACGTGCTTCTAACAGTTTTTTAACTGTATCTTTCAATACCTCATTACGATTTCAGACTTAATTATTGAACGTCACAAGATCTCTTTTTGACCAATTTTAATTGTATAAGTATCACTTTTTGAAATAATAAGTTTGGAACTTTCTCATATGCAAGAAAACACGCTTTTTATCTAATTGATTTGAAATTGTTTTTACAGTTAAGTTTAGACCACAACCAGAACCCAAGCCGAGGGGATAGATGAGGGTGCAGTATTCCAATATTGAATTGAATTGTCAAGAGAGACCAAGACTTACTTACTATATTAAAACTTGGTCTATGTGCTGCAGTGCACCTTAAACAAAGGACACTCTACAACATTATAGAAAAGAGTAGAATTCATGACAAAATTCTCTGTTTTGGTGATGGTGACTTGTTTGTAGATCTTACTTTACTGAACATTCTTGCTGTTTACAGTTATCTCTATCTATAATGAACTTGGCCCAGTAGTTTCAGAGGAATAGATTTTTGTAAAAGATAACAAAAATTTACGAAAAATTGTGAAAAAATAGATTTAAAGGGCAATAACTCTTTCAGGGGTCAATTGACAATTTTGGTCATGTTTGACTTATTTGTAGAGCTTACTTTGCTGAACAATTTTGCTGTTTACAGTTTATCTCTATCTATTATAATATTCAAGATAATAACCAAAAAACTGCAAAATTTCCCTAAAATTACCAATCCAGAGGTAGCAACCCAACAACGGGTTGTCTGATACGTCTTAAAATTTCAGGGAAGATAGATCTTGACCTGATGAACATTTTTATCCCATGGCAGATTTGCTCTAAATGCTTTAGTTTCAGAGATATAAGCCAAAAACTGCATTTTAGCCCTATGTTCTATTTTTAGCCATGGCGGCCATCTTGGTTGATGGGCGGGGTCATCGGATACATTTTTTAAACAAGATACCATAAGGATGATTAAGGCCAAGTTTGGTTCAATTTGGCACAGTTGTTTCAGTGAAGATTTTTGTAAAAGTTAACGGACGACGACTACGACGGACGCCAAGTGATGAGAAAAGCTCACTTGGCTCTTTTGGGCCAGGTGAGTTAAAAATAGATATTTGAACATGTATGTCTTTTTCTTTAAGAGTCGGACATTGTGGTTGGTATAGTATTTTGTACTGTGTGTTATTTATTTCTGTTGCCCTTTTTAATGTATTATAGTTTTTTCTCTCGACACTATATTGAATTGCAGTTAATAGATTTTAAGTGAAGATCATCAACTTCATTGAAACATAGAAAAAGACATAAAACCAAAGACGTCAATTGTATTTACAAAGAAATTAATTAAAAGTCCTCCAGATAACTATCTGATTCCTCTGGGTACTGAAACGTGTCAGTATTCTTCATATTCCTCCACTGGTGGTTCGAATCCATCCTGAAGCAAAACACAATTTAATTGTTATTTCATTAATTATTGATTGGACATGACAGTATAAGCGTGTAAATAAGTAACTTTGAGCTAGCTTTTAAAAGACTGAGAATTATTTGTTACAGTATGATTTTATGTTGTTGTTGTTGTTGTTAATTGCAGCTGTTTTGACCATGTCTGATACTTATAATATTGAATAAAGCTAATATATAGATATAAGAAGATGTGGTATGAGTGTCAATGAGACAACCCTCCATCCAAGTCAAAATTTATAAAAGTAAACCATTATAGGTCAAAGTACGGTCTTCAACACGGAGCCTTGGCTCACACCGAACAGCAAGCTATAAAGGGCCCCAAAAATTACTAGTGTAAAACCATTCAAACGGGAAAACCAACGGTCTAATCTATATAAAAAACGAGAAACGAGAAACACTTATGAACCACATCAACAAACGACAACTACTGAACATCAGATTCCTGACTTAGGACACTCAGGTTCAAACAATTACAGCGGGTTTAAACATTTTAATGGTACCAAACCTTCATCCTTATCTGAAACAAGAGTGTAACATCACAACATAGAAAAACACACTATAAAATATCAATTGAAATGGCTTAACTCAATCAAAAGACATATTAACACCAGTGAACATACACTGAACAAATAAACTTGATCTATATATATATGATACAATGCAAATACAAAATAAATATATGCATGATTTGTTATATTTTTGTTCAGTCTCTCTCAGTCTGATCAAAATGAGAAAAGATTAATTGATTGAGTTGAATGATTGATTGGTGTTAAACACCGCTTTCAGCACTATTGTGCTATTTCGTGGCGGTAAGTTTTGTTTGTTTTGTTGGAATAAGCCGGAGTGCCCGGAGAGAACCACCGACCTTCGGTAGGAATAATAAGAAAAGAATAGCTACTAATTATAATTGATTATTCAACTTGTTATCTATTCGCCTGCTTACAGTCAGTAACCTTGTCAGTTATTTTTTTTTCGTTTTATATTATTGTTTTGTCTTTTATTAATGATAAATAGAAGGTCTATAGAAAGACTGTAAAAAATCACAACTTGTCAAAGCTCGAACGATTTAGACATTAACATACTATGCTTTCGACATTTCGACATTATTCTTGCATAAAGTAAAAAACTTCTTCGTGTTTTTCTTTGATTTAAAAGTTAAAAGTCTAGTCCTATCGAATCGCTCATGTATGTTTTGTAAGTTCCTGAATATTCACCAACACAAGAATTATTTATTTTACATGTTTTAATAATTCTATATAATTTTACCTCATAAGCACATAACACATCCATTACATGCTTTGACATTGGCTCTTCTTCATAGTCTTCAGATTGGCATAGGACTTCAATTTGACGTAATTTACCGAAGTAGAAGTCTCGTTCTTTTTCTAAGGATTCCTTATCCATTTTAACATCCATAATCTGGTAAAATGAAACACTCTAACGTAATGCAATAAATATATGGCACGATTGATTCTTACTGTGCTTAAACTTAAAGTTGTTATTTCCTTAGGGAGATATGGTCCTCTAAGTGCGTTTTGACTTCTGTTTTGATTGACGCTGGCACTCTCAAAAGCTCTTTAACTTTGAATTTAAACGTTTTGACTTCGAGCACCACCGAAGAGGCATTGGTTGTCGAAATCCCTATTTGGTGCAGTGAAATTGGTATATTTAATGTTATTACTACGATACCTCTGCGTGTGGACTGGTAGTGCTAGAGTATTTTCAGCCCAGTAGCCAGTTCTTGGATACTGGCATGAAAAGACGAGTATTGTTTTGATGAAATTTGCATTTAAAATATTTTAGAAATTATTTCAAATTAAGGATTATATGTCATCCTCTTGTATAGCCCTGATTAGTCGGTCGGATTAAGTTGTACTTTTGGTCCTTTTTTATAAGCTCTTTGTATTAGGTTTTATTTTTAAATATGTGTCCCGGGCATCGCTAAATACATATAAATTGTCAAAACCGCTTATGTTACAGTTAAATTGGTACCATTAATGGTATCTATATTAAAAAAATTAGGGCAGAGGTTTTCCGGAAACACGTACAATGTGGTAGACACTGAAATCAAAACCATTATTTTGCATTGAGTCAAACAAATATTAAATCATTATTCGTGTTCTACGTTCTGAGTACTTTTCAAATCAAGATGGATCAGTTCTTTAAGTTTTAAAGCTATTGATGCAAATTATTTAAAACTAATAGGCTCACAACGCAACCATCTACAATCAACTTGGGAAATTGAAAGAATTCACCACGGTTTATTTTTTCAAATTGTTAGAATTGTAGGTTACCACAACAACCTACCGGTATAAAACTAGACAAGTAAAGCATTCAAAGTATAGTTGTCTCATTGGCAATCATACCACATCTCCGTTTTTTATATTGATTTCAGGGTTTGTTGCTCGTGCTATGTGGATGATGAAGAATGTGTACCCGTGCTTGAGGTGTATGTCCTTATATTTCACAGTTATAGCTTTTTTGCTTGTGATATAAATGTCGACTGTTAGTTCTTATTATTACAGTTGTTTTATTTCTTTAATTTATTAGTTCATTCATTTGGAACTCTAGTCGATAGTTGTCATTTGCAATCATACCACGTCTCAGTTACTTGTTGTTATAAATTAAACAATGCATACCTGCTGCCTAAGTTCTTCAAGTTCTACATCTAATTCACTACTAGGTCGACCTCCAGATTCTACTCGATATGAAGACGAGGCTGAGCTCTTACTTGAATTTCTTGCTACAACATTTCAAATAATTCCATTAGAATCTCATTTATAAGGATATTTTGCTAAGAGTTTATATAGAATATGACAAAAATACGTCTGCAATATTCTTCTAATAGTGTAAATAAAGAGTAAGAGTTAGTTTCCTATGCGTTTGTTTAACTCACATGGTCTCACAGTAGATTTAACGTACGTACTAGAATATGCATAATAATGAGCTAATATTTTGGGAACATTTTAAACCATTTTGCATTCGTCTAAATAATAAAATGCTACTCAGTGCATACTTTTTTCTATATTATTGTAAATTGTTCATGTTTTTTGTAAAACTTCGCATTGAAGGACATCTTTATACAAGATCAATTAATGAGAGCAACACCATTTGATTTTCGGGGGAAGGGGGCAGGAGGATTTTTCGGGACTGATAAAAGCTGAAAATAAATAACCTTTCATAAAACAGGACAAAAACAATTATTCTGCAACATAAAATGCAGGAAACAATTGTATACAACTGTGAAAATCAATTTTCGCGCAACTAAGCTGCGAAATAAAAATAAACATGAGGAGCAACATACGAAAATGAATAGTCAATCCGCAAAAAAACTTTCCTATATCAAATGGTCGTTCCCTAAGTGTCTTAAACACAATACATAAATTTTCTTCCAACATAATTTTTGATTTGGATAAGAAGGTCCTCTTTATTTTGGGAGAACAGTTTCCGAAGTCAATTCAAAACTGTATGGTTGAGAAATTTTAGTCATATATGATTAATATGTAATATGAAGTTTAAACTCAAAAATGATTGATTGGTAGTTGTTTGCTTTACGTCCAGTGGCAAATATTTTATGCATGATCAGGATTCTTTTTTATAAAAAGCAAAATTTGTCAAAATTAAATATTTTTATAACCCTTTAGTCTGAAATAAATCTGTTGGTGTGAGTAAAATTGTCGTTTTGAGTGTAACGCTGGTTTTCAATTTTACCGAAATTTATAATTAGAAAGGTTTTTTGTCAAATTTGTCGATTATGCTTATAATGACACAGTGACAAAAATTATACTTCTGCATTAAATTGGCCAGAAAACATCATCTTATTCTGTCAATATAATTTTCATAACTTTAAATTGGCATATTTGGCCTTTTTTATGCCTTTTTTTTTATTAATATAGCTCTTTGACTGTTTCGTTTCTTGTACATCCTTTGCTTTCAAATATCCTGATTTGAGCGTTCCTGATGAAGGTAAACCAGAAAAGTGCTTCAAACACATGACATTTATAAAGTGTTTTTTTTTTTCATTTATTTTTGTATATAAAGTCGCACGATTCACTATATTGTTTTTGTTGTCGAGCAAGCCGGTTCCAAAATAATTTTACAGTTTAAAAAATAAACGTCATACGTGAAATTACCACTTTATAAATTTCGTACGGCCGAAGCTCTATTCCGGGTTTACCTTCACCTACAACGCTCAAACCCAAATATTTGAAATCCATGGATGTATAAGAACATCTGTACATAGAAACATTAGGAGCAACATGTATACGATCAAAAGGCTACATAAAATTAATTCATCGTAGGTCAACTTTGATGACCATACTTATATGTGATAATATGATATGTAAGTATCTGATGTGTCATTATATATCTTGAACTTGTACAAATACTCGTGCTCTAGTATAAATTAATAAAAAAAAATGGGTGTTGCCTTGTTTTTTTAATACTTTTCTTCCGCTGTAACTTCAAATGTACCCGATAAGCCTTTCTGTTAGCATAGTGGAAATAAACCACATTGATTGATACATTTAAGTTATACTTTTATTCTATGATAGAATGATGTAAAATAATACATGTATCATTTGGAAATGGTTAACTCTTATTATCTAACATTCAAAACTATGTCTTTCAAGTTTTAACTGTCACATACCAACGACTAAAATTGGATTCAACGAAAAAGAAAAAGGTTTACAAATTTGGAATAGTCACTTTCAGTTTGCCTTCAACTTTCTGAGATATAATTACATAGAAGTGTTATCATTTATCAGCAAAAAGTTCATATTTTGACAATTAAACCAGAAAAAGACAAGCTAGTACAACGATTCATATTGCCATACGAAAGTAGTGATAAGGTATCAATTTGAAGACAGAAAAATAGACGCAAATTAAGATTTCGTTCCAAATCCATGATAACTATGAAACATCTATGGCGTCTACATCTAATACTTACATGTTCTTTTTGATCGTCTAGCAATGACAGACTGTGGTCTATTTTGTGGTTGACTGTATTTCATTCCTCTACAGTTTGCATCAAAGTACAGTTTGAACCATTGAACAAATTCGAAATTATCTTGAAACCTTCCTTTTACCAAACGTTCGACTGGAATTATCTAAAGTATCCAATACAGGAAATTCAATAGTATTTGTGAGAAATCAAAGGTAAATACAGCTTTTAAACAATCTGATTAAAATAACAAAAAGTAACAGATTTTAGCAAGAGAAAATTATATCTGAATTTCAATATACAGATAAATTCTTGTGATGGATTAAATACCTCGTATATAGATAAAATCATAAAATTTTGTATGCTTTTAAAGTAACATACTATTTTATATAACATTAACAAATACACATGATTCATAAATGATTAGCTATTTGTCAATGCTTCAAATAATATAGAAACCAAAACACGATGCAAACTGAAAATAAAACGTACCTTGTCTGTTCCAGTCTTATTGAAGGCATTCTGTAATATTTTGAAGTTATTTATAAATTCATGCTCGAGTTTGGTCTGTATTTTGACTCTCTGGAGTGGCACTTTACCTAAATACATGTATGTACAAAAAATATGAATAACTAGAAAATATTAGATTCAACAAACTTTGAGGACTGTCAGTTTTCCGCCTTGTAACTTCTGTTTTGATATTTGTTTTTTTTTACAGATAAAAATAGTTTATTTTATTTTATAGTTTAGTACATAATCAATGGTTTTAATTTTATTCGACAATATATTAATTTTATGATGTTTAGTGTTTAGTCTGGTTAAAAATACAGCTTTAGGTTGCATGTAGTTATCTGCGCTTTATACCAACATTTTATTGGCAACTGTTTTCAAATTAAATTTGTATTTTTTTTTTAATTTGTTTATTTATTTATATTTTTCGAAATCTGACAGATTCATAAAGCATGCTTTGTCAAGTTAAGTGTTTTACCGACTCGAATATGTATAATTTAACTGTAATCATAGTTTTTACAAATTAAATGTATGACATGTATGAGTAGAGCTGTGGACAGTATTCTTCAGTACGTACCAGGAAACAGTATATCAACAGCTTGACAATAAGCAGCACCTGTAAGATAATATATGTATCGCAATAACTTATACTTTGTGCGATTTGAATGACAAAATAGTATCGTTCAAATTTAGTTTAAAAAAAAATTCAGAACTTCGGATGTCTACTCTCTGAATAGCTGTATTTGGCTTTATGTAAAGAAATTGGAAATTGTAATGAATCAATCATTTATATATATATATATATGTGTATTGCCTCTATTTGTTAAATAAAGTATTAAATTTGATGAAAACAAATATGTAGCAAATTACGTTTATACAAAAACCAGGGGGATCCTCATGTGCTTCGGAAGGGCAAGCAGATCCTGCACATATGGCACCCGTCGGGTTGCTCGTTTTAGTACAAACTCGATGATAAGTCTAATTCGATAGGCCACTTTTTGGGAAAAGGAGGACGGGATTGTGGTTATGACGACTTGAACATATCCGAGTCCTCTGTGAAACAGATATTCTATACCATTCAACCAACTCGTGATTTTTCGAAGGGATGATTTCAAATTCACCAATTGAAGGAAATCATGATAGGAAACGCAAGCCCTGGAATATTGTATCAACTGGGAGATATATACTCGGTATGCAGGCGTTGCTGGAATGTTGCTACATAGAAATGGAAAGTTTACAATTGGGGAGTGAAATCATCTCTTTTGTCGTGAAGTTTTGTTCTCAACCGACCCTCATTGTCAATTTCTAGGTGTAAGTCAAGATATGACGCAGACTTAACCTTATCTGTTGTATCCTTTATTTCAAGTTGGATGGGATATCTGCGTTCAACATAGTCACACAATTTTAAATTATTTAGTGAGAGGACATTATCTATATAGCGAAAAGTGAAATTAAAGGATATGCTAGCTTTTCGTTCTTCCTAAGAAGCTCCCGTATGAAGTCAGCCTCGTATGAATAAAGGAAGAAGTCGGCAAGAATAGGAGCCCAGTTAGTTCCCATAGGATTGGCGATTGTTTGTTGAAAAAAACATTCTCCAAATATAACAAATATGTTGCCAATCAAGAAATCAAGCATCTCGATAATGTCGGTTGTTTCATAGAATTCTTTGTTTGAATCAGAGTAAACTTTGGATTAGGGACTGTCTGTCGGAATACATTCTTTGTTTGAATCAGAGTAAACTTTGGATTAGGGACTGTCTGTCGGAATACCAACCTATAAGCTCATCAATCACCAAATATAATGTCGATCTAAAAGTCCAGCATTTTACTTTATAGTTTTTATCTTATATTTAGTATTGTCTCCACCTATAACAAGAAACTGCTATCTGCGTTTACTATTCTTATAGAACAAAAAGTTTTTGATTGGAAGATATAAAGGATTCTTTGAATTTAATGAATAAGGAATATTGGTGTTTGGTGTAAATAATATTCGAACGTTCTGATTAATGCTAAAATTGTGTTAACTGTGATAATATCACAAAAGAGGATGAATGGTTGGGTTCAGATAAGACAAACATCGACTAAACTAAAATAAAATTATAAAAGAGGGACGAAAGATACCAGAGGGACAGTCAAATTCATAGATCGAAAACAAACTGACAACGCCATGGCCAAAAATAAAAAGACAAACAAATAATAGTACAGATGACACAACATAGAAAATTAAAGACTATAGCAACACGATCCCCACCAACAACTGGGGGTGATCTCAGGTGCTCCGGAAGGGTAAGCAGATCCTGCTCCACATGTGGCACCCGTCGTGTTGCTTGTTATTAAAAATCCGGTAAATAGTCTAATTCGGTAGGTCACATTCGTGAAAAGGGAAGGGTATTGTAGTTACGACATAAGGAACATATCCGATATCATCTGTGAAACGGTTATTCCATAACGGTCAACCAACTCGTCATGGCGTCCGTAAAATTTACGAAGGGATGATTTCAACTTCACCATTTGGAACTCTTGGTTTAATAGCTTCCTTGTGAGCAGCAATCCTCTATCAAGGAAATCATGATAGGAAATACAAGCCCGGGAATATCGTATCAATTGGGAGATATATACTCCGTATGCAGGCGCTGCTGGAATGTTGCTACATGGAATTGGAAAGTTCACAATTGGGAAGCTGAAATCATCTCTTATATATAAATGTTCCTCAACTTATCAGCAATTTACCAACTTCAACCGCATATGGAGTATAAATTTCTCAACTCATACCATATTCAAGAGCTTGATGCTGCTACTCAGACTTTTGAAAATGCCATCTGTGTCTGAGCAAAATAAAATCTATATATAATCTATTCATTTGAATTTCAAAGAATCTTAATATGATTGGCACCACTGGCAGAGTATACTTGTTCTCTTTATTAACGGCCTTCTTTGAAAGTGACCAGACATTTAATTAGGCACTAACGGACAGTCAAAACATAAAATCTAAGATGAATAAGCAAAACTATCATTGCAAGTTGGTCTACATGTACTACTTGTTCCACTAAATTCTTTCCTAGCTTTTTTCATCACAGTCAAAGAAGGCCTTTAAAGAAAAGCTAGGAAATGATTAAGTGGAACAACTAGTTCATATGGACCATTTATCATGGCTTCGTCCTTTTTTGTATTGATGGTGTTGTATGTTCATATTAGATATATGCTTTTGTCCAATGAAATTCTTGAACATACAGCTACTGTTTCAAGCACCTATAAAAATATGTTTACCTGTACAAAGCTCTTCGATCTTGTTGTAGTTTGTATTTAAGATACTATTTATCCAATGAATGATGTCATTTCTACTCAAGTTATGAGAAGTGTGATTGTTAGTCAATCGTACGTTGATTGCTGTCATTTTCTGAAATGAAAGTTGAAAGTCAGCGTATTAAACCGTAATACTAAAGATATATATACTGTCGTCGCTTGTAAGGTTCCTGTCTTTATTTGCTACAAAATTTGTGTAGAAATTCTGAATCACAAAATATAGAAAAGGTTGTATCCATTTACCTGTCTACATGTCTACTACCCTCATGGAAAAATCATTCATCATGCGAACATACAAAAGTCACCTTTAAATCTCTGTTGAAAAAGGAAGCGCTTATACCAAATAAAAAGTTCTAATTTGTCATTGTTTTAAACACGTTTGAATATAATTCAACAGAGACAACATTAAAGCTTAAGTATAGATATAGATATAGAACACATATACCAAGAAAAGATTATCTTAATTGAATATGGTAAAACCTTTCAGAATTTGTGGTCCTCAATGCTCTTCAGCTTCGTACTGTATATGTCATTTTAACTTTATTTTTTCAAGCGACACTGATGAGTCTTTTGTAGACTAAACGAGCGTCTGGCGTTCAAAATTATAAGCCTGGTATGATGATTTTTTTTATATGCAGATAGCAACAACAACCAACGATATGGAACTACCACATGAACACTGTCACATGTGGAGCAGAATCTGCTTACCCTTCCGGAGCACCTGAGATCACACACGGGTTTTGGTGGGGGTCATGTTGCTCAGTCTTTAGTTTTCTATGAGGTGTTTAGTATAATGTTGTTTGTATTTTTTTGCCATGTCATTGTCAGTTTTTTTCGACTATGAGTTTGAATATCCCTTTGGTATCTTTCGAAGTCTTAAACGGTTGAAGTACTTTCGTTGGTATTTTAGTACTCAAACCTTTACTTAATGGTCTCGATCAGATCAAGAACAAACGATATACAGTTTAACCCATACCAGTAAAAAAATCTGATCTTTTGTAAGAGGTTATATAATTGTTTTAATTGGTTTAGAGGTGTAGTAGTGACGCATTATATTTTTTAAATTACCACTGTTCCACCACTGACTGAACACGGAATAGCTGACACAGTAAACAGTTGGTTCACAAACTGAGCTCTTGGTGTACTCGATAAACCGAGCTAATAGAATGTGCTTGTGATTATACCACTTTACTTCCTCACACAAGGGGAAGCATTGTTTTACTTTTCCACTTCATGAATATATATATACCATAACGACGAAATCCAACATCAAATCTTAATTGACTTCTTATATTTTCCTAAATCTTTACCACTGCGGTTTTTCCATATGCTGCTTTCAAAGTCCTATTAAAATGCTCCTTTAACTTGATTTTCCTTGTCGGTTGTCCTTCAAATTTAGTTATTTTGGTAATGCTGAGTACCCTGTGCTCGCCAACTTAAATCGATGTTCTTTTGGTGTCCTTTATCTTATCACTAAGATACTGATCGGTGAAAATATTAGTTTTTTTGTAACTATATTCGATGTTCTTCCATGACGTCATATCAGCAAACGGCAAAGAATTTGTATGTAAAAACAAATCTTGACTAGAGAACAAACGGAACACATGTTAGTTATTTAAAGATAGATGTTGTTGGTGATAATTTTATTTTCGTTTTTTGCCATGCAGTTTGTCGGGTTCTCTTCAAATTATGAGTTTTGAACGTCTCGTTGATATCTTCCACCAAAACTTAAATCGTACAAGATTTCGATGGAAACATACGTGTACCTGTTAACTAACCTTCACGAAGAACTAAATCAATTAATTTTTTTTTGAAAGTTTTACGTAGAGAAATATTTCGGAATCTACAACATAAAAATTTTAAAGATGGACTTACCTACAAGCTTACCATCTGTAGATACAAAACAAAGTATTAAAAATTAATTAACAAACTATGTCGATATGTTTGCTTCAGTGATTTACAGCCACTATTAATTGCTTCTATACTTGTGTTACAACGTACATGTATAAATTATTTATATCTTTATGGTTCGCTAATGCATAACTCGAACGATTTTATTTCGTAGAATAAAAATTTCTACTAGGTCAATCAGTATTGTTCTTCAACACGAACTAGCCCATCATTAACCAGCCGAAACCTCTGTGTTTCAATGAAGTATTAATAATATATGTTTAAGTGTTTTACATTGATTTTTGCATTTATTTCTTGTAAGTTTTTATCTAATCTGGGAAGAGTCTTGTTTTTATTGGAACGTTAATTATTAAAGGTGTGAATTAATTTTAATTGTAACTTCATTTACAGAAGCGATGTTCATAAGATCTATTCAAAAATTTGAATAATGAACGGTATGCAATATTTATAAGACAAATACATTAAGAGTTTTCCTTTAATGAACAAGATTTTCAGAAATTTGCGTACATAAATATCCATAGAACCAACATGCCAAAACTATTAATACTTATTCCTTAAAGTCGGTCATATGTTTAGGAAATTACTTTTCAGGTTCGGGACAACCCAACAAATGGGAACTATACCCCAAATGAGTAACAACCACTCAGTTGAGTAATCACTTCATGGCGCTAAAACCATAATTTTCTTAACTGAGACTTTTTACTTAAAATGGCAGAAAATTAGAGAAAATGGAACAACTTCTTCAAAAAAAGCATATTTTTATTTTGGGTTTAAAAAAGTAGCCTTGAAAATTATCAATTTTTCAAATATGTCATATGCTTGTAACACCCTTCATGTGGATCATGGCAACTAAAAGTGATAAGTGGCAAGAGGAAAAGAGGGAGAGATTGTGGCTACGACAAGTAGAACATAGGCACAGATATTCCATAACGATCAACCAAATCATGACGGCGTCTGCAATATTTTCGAAGGGATCATATCTTCGGCTTTATCTTCCTGAACCCTTTGAAACAAGGCAGTCATATAAGCAACAACCCTCTGAAAAGGGAATCATAATTGGAAACGCAAGCCCTTGAATATCGTATCACTGTGAGTAAAACAGGGGTTTCTAAAATATTGCAACACAGAAATGGACAGTTTACAATATAAAAATTTAAATCATGTCCTTAGTTCTCAACTGACCCTAGATTTTAGTCAAGATATGAAACAGACATACAATGTTACTGTATAAGGTGTATCCTTTATTTCAATTTCGTGCTGGTTTATGTTCAAAAACATGCAAGCAAAACGTAACCAATATGTTATCAATAAAACCAAATCAATCATCTTGAAAATGTCAGTTTTTGGCTTAGTACATTTGTTCCCCTATTCATTTTTTAAATAACAATAAAAACAATGCTGACAGTAAAAGAGAGGCAAAAGATACCAAAGGGACATTCAAACTCATAAGTCAAAAATAAACTGACAACACCATGGCATAAAAAGAAAAAGACAAACACCCGTACATAAAACTCAACATACAAAACTAAAGACTGAGCAACACGAACCCCACCAAAAACCGGGGATGATCCCGGGTGCTCCGGAAGGGTAAGTAGATCCTGTTCCACGTGTAGCACCCGTCGTATACAGGTTTGGGAAACTAATTATATACATACATGTACATCGGGAGCAACATGCGAAGGGACTGAAAAGAATTTCCAAACAAGTGAGATATTCGAATACGGAATAGTGATATAAATACGTAAAGATTCTTTTTCTTCAAAAATTTGTTTTCACATATGAATTAACATTTTTGATCATATAATTTAATTACAGATGTCTTATAAGTACATCATACATGAAACAAAATTATATCATATAATTTTATACATTAGACTGATCAATACAAATTGTAGTTTTTTTTTTTTTTTTGTCTTTAAAACCTACGGGTATACAGCCTGCACATGTATAGTGTTAATTTACTGTTGTGTTTAAATGTGTTTGGTTTTATAATCATCTCAAATCAAACTTACTTTTACTTGAATTGATACCAGTGCTGTTACTTAAAAGATATAATAAACAGTTTAACTCCTTAGCATTCATTCATAAACTTTTTAAATACCATCAACAGAAATAACATGCATCTTTCGATATTATCTTAGACTTGTGTGATCAACTCATAAATGAATTATAGTTCGTGAATAGCAAAAACAGCAGATTTACTTTCCCTGCCCAGAAAGAATAGTAAATTTCAATGTTTACACAAACGAAAGATTTCTTTAATGTTAATGAACAGTAATCATAAATGAGAAAACGGTTGACAACTGGACTGTCAGACAGACAGTATAAACCGCCTTGTAACAAGTGCTTCCGCTAAACGTTAACTTAATAAATCATGACTTGTCAAAATTAAGTTAATGCATAAACTTTATTGGGCATCTCAGATGTTTTGGCACTTCTGTTAATGCAACCAGTTTCACCAGCCTTTCCTAATTTTCTTTCGTGGTTTTTAGATGGTTGTACTTCCACTTTTCTCTCATACATTTAAGGTGTTTGATACTATGATTTTCTCTTTTTTGTGTCACAATATAAGGAAATGTACAGTCTGGTGCAATTTGGAAAGTTTGATCAAACTTTGCACAACACGTATTTCAGAATATCAAGTTCTATCTACGTCTAAGTACAGTTCTCCTAAAATGACATAATATGATCTACGGATTCATTTTGTAGAATGTCCAAACATCCAAACAACCTTAAACCACCTTTATGACATGAAGCGCAACTGGTAGTCTAAGAGAATATAACAACTTCAAATTTCAGTTCTTTTTGCATTGGCTTGTGACGTTACCGGATCTTATATATCTGATAATACACAATAAAAAAGACATTAAGAGGAATAATTTATCAACAATATTGAACGGTTCAACAGACCACATCAACAACCAACACCCGACTCAGACCTACTGTAACAACAAAGAACAACGAACACCACGTGGTCAAGTTAGTTTGATGTACATGCTGAATAAAAGGAGATTGAATGTAAACGCTTATGCGAAAGAAAACCAACATAAGTTTACAAAACAAAACAAAACTACAACTGTATTAAGAATCCATTTTAATTGTTCTATCTACAGTAGAAAAAACACTCATTAATATAAAATAAAAAACTTCATTTCAATAGATTGTATTAAGCATTATAAAAAGCACCATATCATAAAACTTGTAAATTTGTACTTTATAAATTTATGTGACATTTATATGATCACATTCAAACGACATCGATCCTTATGCTGACGTACATTTTTGTACATCAAACATATGATTAAACTCGCATGAATCGAAGGCCCCTTACGTCAAACTTTACTAATTTCTCACGAAAAAAGCTACTTTAAAGTGAGAAGTAATATATGATTTATGTTGATACTTTTTTTACAAAGGTAAAAAATTTAGATAAAAAAAGGTGAAATGAATGTAACAATTTTGTGTGTATCATAATTTCATTACTTGTATGTTTCATTATAATACGTTATTTTGATTGACTAACAGCAGTCTCGCGTCATTCTGAAATTAACCTTCATTTCTAAATGAAATGTAACATTCATGACGACACGAGCTTCCACAATAAAATGCACAGGTAAATAAAAGAAAAACTTGATAGAAATCGTGTTTTTATAATCCTAGCAAAAAAATGTAATTATAAGAATTGAATGCTTCTTTTAGTAATTTTATAGGGTTTTAAAAGCGTTGACCGTGCGCACAAATGATGACGTAATGTATCGTAATTATCGTTTGTAAGTTACTTACACCATAGCAAGAATACTATATATTCATTAAGATATGAATAGGATTGAGCAACAGGCACATCCTATAAAAGCTTTCTCCACATTACATGTGCAAGGTATAGATCATATATTTACAACTGTATTTAGAACTACAGTGGATAAATGTATACATCTTGTGAGCACACACAAACAAATACATATTTACAGTGTTAATCATATTATTTCAGTATGTAGGAATCATATGTTATTTTTAAAAGTACCTTGAGACTACAAACATTTATATATCAACACCATGTATAAGTCTTACAATTTATGTTTGCTAAGGTAGACGTGTTTATCTATCAAAATCGATCTTGTCAATCATTCCTTTGTTTAACGCTTTGACTAAAGTTTTATCTGAGCTGCCTTTTTTATTGTCCAGCATTGATTACGAAATGACAGATAGGGTATTTAAAAAAACAATGTCATTGCGAAACTATAGCAATATAGAAATAACGGGAGATGTCGAATGATTGCACAAGAGACATTTATCCACAGAGTCCAAATGACATGGATATAAGCAAATATAGGTCATCCTATGGCCTTCAACACGCATTGATAATAATTATGTCGGATGTACGTCACTTAAGTTACCTCCATTTAACCACATACATTTTGTAATAAATCAAACCTGAGAAAAGTATAAAAATCACATGCAATTTGTAGAAAATTTGAAGTGTTTTTTTCCTGATTTTTTTTCTACCACTGAGACTCAATAGATATTCTCAATACCAAACCCAATGTTGTTATATGATATAAGTATAATTACCACGTGTTCGAATACTTTTGAAAAAACATTTAATAATAAAAACAGTATCATGGCTTTGCTCTTTGGTATTGTCAATGGCGTTTGCTATATATCGGAGTAATGCATTTTCTAAAGTTCTTGGATGAATTAAAGCAACATTTCATATACATGCATTTGGAGACATATATGAGAGTTTGAATATAAAAAAGAAAGCTCCATTAAATAAAGTTAGAACATTTTTCACTCTGCTAGCAAATAATATCCTTAGTACAAGTGGTCGCATATTTACTGTGGTGGTGCAGTTGGTTGTTCATTTGGCTTAGTTTGATAGGCTGCTTGTTCATACGACGGAGGATTATATGCAAAATTAGAATAACCCGCCATAGGGGGTTGTCCTGTTGGCTGGCCGGTTGGGTAAGTCTGCTGACCGGTTGGATAAGTAGGATATGTATAAAGTGGCTGATATCCCGGCTGTTGTGGATAGTATGGAGCACTGTAGCCCTGTTGTTGAGCTGTAAATTAAATCATGAATATAATAAATTTGAGTTTAAAAATGCTATTGAAAGTTCATTTTCTGATTAAAGATCGGCAGATTGCTCTTTAAGCCTTTTATTATATGATAAAATTGTGCAAGTTTCTATTGTTGTGCGTTATACCCCTGTCCGTTTGGTACTACGTAAGACCAATGGCTGTGCGTGATGTACACCATACACAGCTTTGTTCGGTCGGAATCGGGAGTTTAATTTTATGAAACGTGATCGGAGAGTGCACTACACTCTCTTCTTTAAAGAACCGTTGTTACATTCAACTTCTTGTGATAAAGCTTTTAAGCAAGATCTATACTTAATACTCGTGGTAATCCAAACTGGTTAATTGTGTAGTTTATTTCCCTTCCTGAATATGCATTTGATATATGGTAAAACTCTGCGGTAATCAATAAGAATTCCTAAAATAGTAAAATCAAACTTGACTTTTTTCAATGAATGCAAACACATTTTGCATTGCACCCATGCTTATGCATAATAACTGAGGTAAAGCTGTCACGATATAATTGACCAACTCATTAAGGTATGATTAATTATTATAATGTATTCTGTGCTCATGAATACCTTGTTCCCATTGTATCGTTATTACCGAGTTAAATGGTTTTTGTCGAGCCTGTGACAGTTTTTTCGCGAAAGCGAGACCTAGCGATCCTATATTTCATCGTCTTCATAGTCGGCGGTGTCAACATTGAGATTCAGTCTGTGGTTAAATTTCTTTTAAACATCAGTAACTTTGTCAAACCTTTCTGGAATTTTATGAAATATGGACAGAAGCTTTTTTATGACCAAGAGATAGTAAGTATCCAGAGCAAAATTTGGAAAATATATATTTTCATTTTTACTTAATTTTACTATTAAATGTACTTAGTTTGGTCTGTGATGGAGAGTTGTCTCATTATCAATCATACCACATCTTCTTATTTTTTATATTAGTTGTTTTAGAATTTACATTTAAATACAGTTTAAGGATAAAGTATTTTCAGTCATCAATATCTTTGTCAAAACTTCATGGAGTTTTATGAAATTTGGATAGAAGTTTTTTTTATGACCAACAGACAGTATCCAGATCAAAATTTTGAAAATATGAATGGACTTCGTTTAATGCGATTAACATTTACAGACATATTGGGATTACAATTTTTACATGATTTTGTAAATCTTCATGATTTGTTAAGAAACGTGGACAGAAGCTTTAAGATCAAGATATAGGATCTAAAGAAAAAGTTAGATTTTTTTTAAGTTCTGTATTCTATAGATAAATGGACTCACTTTTTCAGTCAACATTACACTTTAACACTGACAGTGGCAATCGCAGGCGAGACACAGGGACCCTTTACGATTTTTCGTTCTCAGTTTTATAGTACTAGTATGCTCTTTTTTTTTGTGCACAGATCAAGAATAAGAAGGGAAGTAATATCGAATATAAAATGTGTCTGTCCAAAGTCGAGGACGTCGTCAATGGTTGTCTTTTGTCATATTTTAGTATTGATGTCATTTGGAGAACTTTGACGTTGATGATGGTAATTTCTGTTTAATTTGTTCACAACTTCTCATTTTCCCCAAGCAACTTACAGCTTAACTGATATATTGTATGGTCACCTGTCTATTGTTAATCGACTGATTGATTGACGGTTGGTTAACGTCCAAATGGCAAGTATTACAAGAGATTTTAAATACTTTGATTTGTACTAGAAGAAACGCTGAGGTCACGAAATAGAACGTGAAGGTGCCCCATTGTCCCATTTTACTTCACCGAATGATATTCAAAGAGGATGGTAAAGGGGGTTGCTTGCACGAAAAAAACGTGAAATACCGAGAACGCAAGCATTTGAAAGTAAGCATTTGTAAATCACGATGCACGTAAAATTAAATAAGCAGAACACGTTGAACGAGGCACCTGCCTTGCACGACTGAACGTCAAATAAAAAAGTAAACACACGTTGAACGTGAAATAAAAAACGGCGATCACGTTGCACGAAAATAACCCTTTACCACCCTCTTCAAAAAAGCTTAGATATGCGTATACAGTGTGTTGTTGATTCACCTTTATAGTGTTTGTCACTGGCTACCGATAACAATGATTTTACGGAATGAGACTTCATGATTACTATATATATATATATATATGCACAGTTCCAATCATGAAATAAAAGTATTTTGCATAAAAATTTATAGGAATTTGTTTTGATTATAATTCATTTAGTCGCATAAAAAAGTTTAATCTTAAAGAATATAAAATAGGAATAAGAATTAAATACATAAAAATCTTTGATTTTTCTTTATTTGTACAAAACTAACTAGATCTGTTTCTCATTTTAAAAAAAAAAGTACGATAAAAAAAGTCAAACGGTATAAACACTAAAGAGTAACGTACGATCGATTTTGGACTATAGATTAATTTGGACCTTGATTCGAATCATTTTAGTCCTCTGGGCTCCGTATGCATAAAACCACTTAGTAAGTTAAGAAATCCAATTGTAGTACTAATTTATCGTAGGACATGTAGAAAAATCCGTCCGTTCAGAACAAATCTTAACTTAAGTAGCTTTATGCATACGAGCCCTGGTTTGAATATTTTTGCATGGAACAAAATTGAAGTCACATAGGAGACTCGAAAGCCCGGTTGTCACTATCAAGGTTAACTTGGTCCAAGTCATATGTTGTCGCTATCAAAATTTTCCATCCAAAACTTTTGTCAATGCAAATATTGACCAGCCAGGTAAAATGGTCCAAGTCATCGATTGTCACTATCAAAGCTTTTCATCAAAAACTTACTCAAAGAAAAAACTGCACGGACAATTCCCGTCAAGTCCAAGTCTATCCAAGTTTTAAGAAGAATATGCTGAGATTCTAGTGCATCCAAGTTCGTCAAAGTTTATGATCATAGTTTTCATTGATAGTGGGATCTATAAAAATCCATCAAAAACTTTGACCAAGAAAACTTATACAAATAAACTTAGATAGCGACAACGGGCCTTATAACGACCAGGTTTTTTTCAATATTCATGCTAAACAAATTTAACTCGTGGAAATATCATTCATGTATCATGTAAATCTGGTCGTTTACTTGCAAAAAATACGTTAGTGTTATGAATGAACACAAGTAGAGGAATTTAAAATCAAGGATAAAATTGAGAATGGAAATGGAAATGGGGAATATGTCAAAGAGACAACAACCCGGCCAAAGAGTAGATAACAGCCGAAGGCCACCAATGGGTCTTCAACGCAGCGATAAAAATCCCGCACCCGGAGGTGGTCCTCAGTTGGACTAAATAAAAATGTGTACTAGATCAGTGGAAATGGACATCATACTAAACTCCAAAACATATAAATGAACTAAAATAAAAAAAAAAAACATACAAGACTAACAAAGGCCAGAGGCTCCTGACTTGGGACAAGCGCAAAAATGCGGCGGGGTTAAACATGTTTTGTGAGATCTCAACCCTCCCCCTATACCTCTAGCCAATGTAGAATAAAGAAACACACAGCGATACGCACAGTAAAACTCAGTTTAAAAGAAGTCCGAGTCCGATGTCAGAATAGGTAACAAAAGAAACTAGAGTTTATTTGTGTCATGCTCCCCTTGAATACTGGTAAATTTCGTCTGATAAGGATGCGCATCAAACACAAAGATTGCTTCTATACTATATATATCGAGCATATTTCTAAAACTCTTTGTTTCTAGATGTTGACCTAAAACATTTAGTGACCCGATGATTTGGTGTCGATTGTAGATATAGCCCAGTCAGTAGATGTAACGAACAAATGTTTAGCCCGAAGTTATTTGAACCAGCCAATGAATAGCCACATTTGAGCTGTGTTGTCATGCATACTGTATCATTTATAGTTAATATAGACATTTTAATATAAACTTACATCCACTAGTAGCCACTGTAGACACTGTTTGGCCATTTGTCAATGTTGTCCCATTGTAAGCTGGACGTCTACGACAAAATCTACATAACAGAATCATTACCACAATACACACTATGAAACTGATTCCTCCTCCAACAGCTGAACCAATTATTCGTGCGGTGCTCCTGTAATATTTTCACATCTCAATTAATTTTCACAATTATTAAGGTTGCAAAGTTTGAAAGAGATTTTAAAACGCTTATTTTATATTAAGAAATTGATTTCCCATATTTAAAACAAGAGTGCACACGCTGAAATGTCTCGCCTTCTTTACTAACCATTGATATTATGTTGATAGTCCTAAATGAAAGCTTTACTACAACTATTACATAAACTTAACATGATCCAAGAAAATGAAGTCAAGGTCATATAAACCAAACGAGAAATACATGTACACCTTACAATCATTCAATAAACCAAACATAGTTGACCTATTGCTTATAGTTTCTAAGAAACAGACTTAACCAAGAAAACTAAACATTGACCAATGAATCGTGAAAATGAGGTGAAGGTCAGATGAACCATGCCAGGCAGACATGAACAGCTTACAATTCTTCCATACAACAAATATAGCTGGCCTATTGCTTATAGTTTAAGAAAAACAGACTGAAACACATAAACTTAACACTGAGCAATGAACCGTGAAATGAGGTCAAGGTCAAATAAAACCTGCGTGACTGACATGTACATCATAGAATATATCCATACACCAAATATAGTTGACTTATTGCATATAGTATAAGAAAAAAGACCAAAACTCAAAAACTTAACTTTGACCACTGAACCATGAAAATGAGGTCAAAGTCAGATGACACCTGCCAGTTGGACATGTACACCTTACAATCATTCCATACACCAAATATAGTAGACCTATTGCATAAAGTATAAGAAAAACGGACCAAAACACAAAAACTTAACTATAACCACTGAACCATGAAAATGAGGTCAAGGTCAGATGACACCTGCCAGTTGGACATGTACACCTTACAGTCCTTCCATACACCGAATATACTAGACCTATTGCTTATAGTATCTGAGATATGGACTTGACCACCAAAACTTAACCTTGTTCACTGATCCATGAAATGAGGTCGATGTCAAGTGAAAACTGTTTGACGGGCATGAGGACCTTGCAAGGTACGCAATACCAAATATAGTTATCCTATTACTTATAATAAGAGAGAATTTGATATTACAAATATTTCAAGTAGTCACTGAACCATGAAAATGAGGTCAAGGACATTGGACATGTGACTGACTGAAACTTCGTAACATGAGGCATCTATATACAAAGTATGAAGCATTCCAGGTCTTCCACCTTCTAAAATATAAAGCTTCTAAGAAGTTAGCTAACGCCGCCGTAGCCGCCGTAGCCGCCGCCGCCGCCGCCGGATCACTATCCCTATGTCGAGCTTTCTGCGACAAAAGTCGCAGGCTCGACAAAAATCATTTATATCAGCTCAGACGTCAATGCTTCGGTTCTGATATAATTAGACCATTTTATTCTGAATTCCCTGTTGACGAATTAAGAAATTATTAAGAAAATAAGGTTCCGACTGCAGCAGCCAAAATTTACTTTAGAATTTGACTGTTCGAAAATTTCTCTTGACAGTTCAGACGTGAGAAAAACAAATTAGCCATGCTTAGGTCGATGGTTTAGTATTAAAACAAATGCTAGTTTTGCCATGATGATTTCTCTAGGGTAAAAAGTTTCAGATCACAATACAAAAATTTAGCATAGATTTTTAAGTAACTTACCAATGACTATTCCCATAGTCGTAACTGTAGTAATAATAGCAGTAATAACTACTAGTGTAGTAGTAACAAGAAGCCTTGCTCTGGATCACTTTAAAAGAAACAAATTACAAGTCATATATATATTGATAGATAGTATGAGGTATGACAGAGGTGATCAATAGGATGAGAAACGAATACCCAAACGGAAATGGATAAAACAGTCATTTTCTTATTTACAGTCGTCTCATTGCGGTAAAAGAGGGGCGAAAGATACCAGAGGGACAGTCAAAAACTCATAGATCGAAAATAAACTAACAACGCCATGGCTAAAAAATAAAAAGACAAACAGACAAATAATAGTACACAAGACACAACATAGAAAACTAAAGACTAAACAACACGAACCCCATTAAAAACTGGGGGTGATCTCAGGTGCTCCGGAAGGGTAAGCATATCCTGCTCCACATGTGGCACCCGTCGTGTTGCTCATGTTATTACAAATCCGGTAAATAGTCTAATCCGGAGGATCACATTCGTGGTGAAAAAGGAAGTGGATTGTAATTACGACATAAGGAACATATCCAATATCATTTGTGAAACGGTTATTCCATAACGGTCAACCAACTCGTGATGGTAAGTGGCAAATACAGTTGAAATCAGTTTTTTTATCTCTTAAAGTGTGTCAGGAAATGTGTGGTGAACAGTATCCAATACACCTCTCCTGACCACCGTTAAGAACTGTTTTCGGACAAAAGCTGTGTACGTTGTCTTAAAAAATTTATGGACAATTCTACCCCAGAACATATTCTGACAGCTCTTGATCTAGAAGACCTCTTTTGAAAAGTAATAGTACTATAGTACTAAAAATTACAGTGCATTCTACGTAGTCCTTTAACACATCAATTATAATTTCAGTTTTCACACTTTGACGAGGAATTAAAAAAAAATTGTCGTAACTACACAGGTGCCATTTTATTGCGCCTGACTTCTTCGACATTATCAAAATTCTAATGAGTAATAGAGAGAAAATACTGACAAACAGGTCTATAAAAACATAAGAATAGTTCTACCCTAGAACAGATTCTGACAGTTCTACCCCAGAACAGATTCTGACAATTGTACCGTAGAACAGTTTAGCACAGTTCTACGATTATACAGTTACTGTGAGTTCTATCCTATTAAACGTTTTGAACAGCACTACCCTAGAACAGATTCTGACAATTCTATCCGAGAACAGATTAACTATACAACTGTTCTATGACAGATTATTCAGACAGTTTTAAAGACGGGTTTGAACTGCTCTACCCTAGAACATATTCTGACAATTCTATCCGAGAACAGCTATACAACTGTTCTATGACAGATTATTGCCAACTATATAGGGAACAACTACGACTCAGGTCAGAGCCTGTATTTGAAAGGAAGGGTGTCACGGGAAAGACTACATGATGGAAATTTAGAATACAAATCGATACCATTTTTATTTTGAATATACCTTTTTGGTTTATGAGCTCTTCTTTTTTTAATAATTTCTTTTGGCCTCGAGCATCACTGAAGAGAAATTAATGTAATTGCGCATCTGGTGCAGAAAAGTTGGTACCATTAATGTTATTACATGACGTTTTGAATGATAGAATAATCACTTCCAAAATATAAGCCATTTTGTGTTAGCTGAGTAATCATAAATGTGTACAGCAGTTAATTATGACACATGATTATTTTCTTATTGACATTCTGAGTTTGTTCAGAATCTAACTTCCATTCTGGTGACAGATTATTTGAGTAAACTTTTCAAATATTGAATTGCTTAGCAATTGTATGTATTCAAAATCTCAAATGTGTACACACCGGGTATCCTCATCCAAAAATCGCGGAGGGAATCGGACCCAGATTGAACTTACGAATTGCACTTAACAAAGTGTAATTTTTCCTCGAGATTCGGATCCCTCCGCGAATATCGGTTCGGGATACCCAGTGTTGTCTGTGACATAATGTATATACTATTCCAAGGTGTGGTGTATCACACGTACTGGGATACCCAGTGTTGTCTGTGACATACTATATATACTATATCAAGGTGTGGTGTATCACACGTACTGGGATACCCAGTGTTGTCTGTGACATAATATATATACTATTCCAAGGTGTGGTGTATCAAACGTACTAATTTTAAAATGAACATAATCAGAAAACTTTTATAAAAAATCAAGAGTTGACAAGGACGCCCACGTTAACGATACTGGAAAGTTTTCTTCAAAGGACACAATAAGAAAATTTAAAACCAGTTGTTGAGGACGAACAAGATGACGATACAGGAAAGTATTCTTCAATGGCCATGGACATTACCAGAAAAATTACTTGTTGACAATTTAAGGGCGATACCGGAAAGTAACACCTATTATATCGATCTCGCTTTTTAACAGTCGTCTTAGGAGAGTCAAAACTGGATAAAATTAATGTATAATATATCAAAAGAAAGACATTAAATGGACACGGTTATTTATGTGTATATATTTTTTTTTTTCAAATTGTACATGTAATAATGGTTCAGTGATTTGTTAGTCAACCATTCTCCAACTTTAAAGTTTACTCGATATCATTTCTGACATTTTCCTTCATTAATTAGATGAAATTCTACCTACCAGAAGCAAGAAAAGTAAATAAAAACAAATATAATTGTTGGCCTTCCATTTTGAACATGAACTTCTTGGTAATTGTACTATTTCACGGATGTTTGATTTTAAAAGGCCCACTGATCAATAGGTTGAAATTCTAATACCTGAGTTCTTTAAATAGCCCTACAGGTATATAAGGATATTTATAAACTGTAAAGGTATAATACATTCAAAATATGACCACTAAATGTTTGATCTTAAGACCAAAAATAAAGGATCACGTTTAACATTTCAATTTTCAAAATGTGATTATTTTATGTTTACTTTCCTTTTTTTGGCTAGAGAATTTTAAAAAAAGAATGTCCCCAAAAGTAACAACCTATTGAGTTTTTTTTTTGTAATTTTGATTCTTTGATTACAAACTTCACTTCAGTCACGCTTTATATTAGACGTGTTACGAAAAGGTATAGACTCGACGCTGAGGTTGACAAATTAGACTTTAAATGTGGGGACTGACTGTGTCAAAACATTGATTATCGATTAAAACAGGTAAAATTTAATTTGAGTGATTTCAACCAGATATCCTACACACTTCTAAGTGGTTCAATAAAAATTATACAAAAATTTAGAATAATCATTTTCTAATATCATTGCTTGTGATTATAGGATGGGAAAGGTGTGGCTGTTTCCGGGGGAGGGGACGATGGTTTTTCTAGTATGCACTTCTAGATTTGAAAAAAATCAAATAATAAGCCAGTTTGATTTTTAAGTTTACTTTATTAAATACGATATCAATCTGATACTCCACTACTGAACCTCGTCCTGAAGTGTATGCAGTATTTGTCACTGGACAAAAGTGGTTCACCAGACGGTGTGGAAGTTTATCCTCAAACATTAACTGATATCTCTGGTGATTCACGACTGAAGTCTTCAACGCTTTTGTTGTGGGCTTGTGAGAATCCGGATTAAAGAATATGACTCTCATTCACATGACATACAATATGGGAAAAGGGGGCGTGGTATGATTGACAATCAGGTGACTATATCCACCGAAGGACAGGATGTAAACAACTACACGTGTTATATGACGAAGGTCAACACATTGTGGATAAAATAATTTATACAATAAACATGACTAAATTAATTGATTTTTTTTTCATAAATGAAAAATGAAAGTGAGATACACCTATCAACAGTTCCAACAAAACATGGCAAGCAGTTGATCGCGAATTTACAGTAAAGTAGCAGATTTGTTTGTTTGTTTGGGGGTATTGATTCATTTTTCTTTTTCTTTTTTCCTTTTTCTTTTTTTTTCGGGGGGGGAAGGGGGGGGGAGGGGGGGGGAGGTAGTTATAAATGTCAATGTTGTCAATGTTAGAAAAGTCCATTCTCATTTTAAGTTGTAATTAGACGTTTTGTTAAATAGAGACTGAAGATAACATATATATTATATATAAATATATACGTCGATAAAATACACACATGACTATAAAATGAAAGACTTTATTTTCATAAATTGTATTAATGAATATAAACAGCAATATACTATAAAACATGATAAAAGACATTTGGATGATAATTTAATTAGAATTGCAAACAAAATTAGTAGCCTCGGTGGCCGAGTGGTCTAAGTAGTTACTACTGTAATCACTAGCCAGTCAATACTGAGGTTGTGAGTTCGAACCCCGCTCGTGCGGGTGCACTTGACTCCAATCTTAATTGACTAGGATTGTCAGTTTTCCTATCGAAGGTCGGTGGTTTTCTCCGGGTACTCCGGCTTCCTCCACCAATAAAAACTGGCCGCCACGAAATAGCCCAAAAGCGGTGCTTAAAAGTGGCGTAAAACTACCAAAAATCAAATCAAATCAAATCAAACAAAATTATTTTTGACTTCAAGTGACGTTTTTGAAGGCCATTGACGTTATTTTTCTGCAATAAAAACTGATAAAAATTGTAAAGGAAGGTATTATACTTAATGCCTTGTTCACACGTACATTTAATTCGAATTGAATTCGAATCGAATGCGAATCGAATTCGCTAATCGCGTTCACTCACTCTTCTTTTTTATTTCGAATTGATTCGAATTGGCTAAATCGCATTATCCAATTCGCATAAGAAATGCGTTTTTGTTAATACGAATTAAAAGTTAATGTCGTTAGGACAGTAAAGCGAATTTGACGCGCATTGCAATTCGAATTAGAATTTACGTTTGGACGTTAAACGTTTCGAATGCGAATTAAACTAATTCGAATTAGTTAATGCGAATCGAATTCGAATTACGTGTGAACGCTGTTTATCATTTTTTTTTCAAAAGGTTAAATGACATATAAAGAAAGGAGAGATGAAGTACTAAATTTGATAATGCACGCTGATATTGTATATGTATCGTATCGCACATGTAAATACCATGTGCACATTACATGTCTTGAGCAAAGCTCTGGTTCCCTTTCCGTTTATATGACTGCAGCAAGCTTAGATAATAATAATATATCGAATGTACATTTCTTAAGTTACCTCCGTTTTCTTCGCAAATTATTCGTTTTACCACCGAGGCTAAATGAATATTCAGGGTACCAAATCCTTGACATTCGGCAATTACATGTGTATAATCGATGTAGTTATACGATAGGAAAATAGTGCTGCCACTATTCGAACACCCTTTAAAAAAACATTGCATAACAAGAACAAGCTCATGCCTTTGCTCTTTGGTATTGTGAATGGCCTTGGTTAATTGGTGTAAAATTAATGCATTTTTCAAAGTTCTTATGTTTTTAAATTAAAAATATTATATAACAATTCGCACTACACATGTAGAGTGCTTGGATGAATTAAAGCATTTGATTTATGTTAATGGAGACACATAGAATAAGAATGTGAATATAAAAAAGAAAAGCTTCACAAAATAACGCAGTATGAATTATATAGAATGAATCTTGATTTCAATTATTCATGTCGTCTATTAATTTTTCTGATTAACAGTACTTGTACATTTATTTGATAATTGAGTGATACAATATTCACAATGATACTTTTACTTTTTAAAATGAAGTATCTTTGTTAGATTAGTTATTTTATTTGTCATTTGTTTATAAGCAATCGGTAGAACAACGTGTGAATTTACTGTGGTGGTGCAGTTGGTTGTTCATTTGGCTTAGTTTGATAGGCTGCTTGTTCGTACGATGGAGGACTAAATGCAATATTAGAATATCCCGCCATAGGGGGTTGTTCTGTTGGCTGACCGGTTGGGTAAGTTGGCTGACCGGTTGGATAAGTTGGCTGACCGGTTGGATAAGTAGGATATGTAGGATATGTGTTCTGTGGCTGATATACCGGCTGTTGTGGATAGTATGGAGCACTGTATCCCTGTTGTTGAGCTGTAAATTAAAAAAGAATATAATACACTGAGTTTTAAAATATTATTGATGAAAGTGCATTAAATGATTAAAGATCGGCATAACTCGATTGTACTTTAAGCCTTTAAATCTCAGGGTAAGAATGCAACTGTTTCTTTTTTCGTGCGTTTTATATCATTTTGTGACATGAAGCTGCTGTTCGCCTTAATTGTAATTTTTTTTTCACATACTAGTATTAGTGTAGCCTTTTGATCCTCTTTTGTGTGTAATTTGAGCTTAAATAATTACTATGACGTATATATTTATTTTACCAATGACAAATTATTACTTGTAATATTAAAACGTTTCAATCCATTCAATCATTTGAACATGTTGTCAAAATATTTAATGGAGCAAATTTAATCTGCATTTGCGTATTGACGTATATTCTATATATATCCTCTTTTTTTTGTAAACCATAATTGTCTTCAACGGGTATTTTCTTGAGACCAGTGCATCGTAGAATACACGGTATGTGACCTTAATCTGATGTCACATGGTCAACACACTGGATTAAATACATGTAGTTGTATCCGAATTCGTTGGAAGGATTTCATTATATATACTACATTATCAATGATAAATGTGTTCGTTTAATTTAAGGATAATAATGTTTATTATTAGTTAACACTTACTTCCAACAGTGGTAACTGTAGGCATTGATTGACCAGTAGTAAATGTTGACCCCGTGTAAGCTGTACGTCTATTACAGAATCTACATAGCAAAACTATTACCACAATAACCACTATGAGGCTGATTCCTCCTCCAACAGCTGAACCAATTATTCGTGTGGAGCTCCTGTAATATTGTTCACATTTATTTAATGTTCCTTCCGTTTTTAACTTGTTATATTAAAAGAGGTAGGGTCAATTCCCTTGTTTTGTTTCACTCGAACAGAGTCAAATCTGAAAGCTGTCAAAACCTACTGGAATTTGAATATTAAAAAGTCTATGTCATACACTTAGAACATATTTCAACAGTTTTACAAATTACTATAAAACAAAAATCAAGTTCAGTGCAAAATATTGCTCATGAATGTATTTTGATACAAAATTGCAAATTTTACATTTTTTGGTAAAAATTTGCATCGAAGGACATCTCTAACCAAAACGAATTAATTCGTATCTGAAATATATACTCTTTACTTCCAACTGAATTTTTTGTCACCATGCATGTATATAATTTATTACACCAAGCGAGTATGGTCCGAGACCACAATTAATGACCCCGCTATTTTCGTTGTCAGAATATAGATCATTGTTATCATAGTATCTGTTTTCTTTATTTTTGTTCTCTGCCTTCTCTGCCTTCCTGATTCATTTCTTAGTTTTTATAGGGTGGAAATGAAAGAAGAGAGTTGAAATAAATTTTTGGATGCATTATTTTAACGGTTCGGAAGTGGGAATGAGTGATTATGCCTTATAGTTTTCGGAACATCTCCTGACTTGTCCATATCAGTATGGATGTGTTTTGGCTAAACTAATGACCTACACAGCTGGGATTTTCCTAATGTTGGATATAATGTTAGACTTGTACTGTACATTACACATACCAAAAATTTGGCAAATTTGCAGGTTAATTTTTTTTAATGTGACAAAAATTTATAAAGAAATGATAGGGAAATTAATTGTGGTCTATGGCCGTATGGCTGTTCAACACCAACAAATTATAATCTAAATCTACAGGTGATTGTATGGGCTTATATATGGACAAAAACACATACCATAAGTTAAACAATGTCCCCACTAAACTAAATATGAGGAATTAAAACAGCTCACGGATTGA